GGGTCCCGCATGGGACATCGAAACAATTAAGTCTTCAAATGAGAAACCGTCATTCACACCCGACTTATTAAGTATTATGGCCAAAGATGCTTTTTTGGAGCCGAATACGATGCTCAATAACTGGTGGGCCATTTTCCTATTTCCAATCGCGAAGTCTCCCCACAACGGGATATTTGGCCGTTGTTATGGTTTTGAGCACGACAAACGATGTGATATATTTTGTGTTAATTCGGCTGTATCGGTTTTGCGTATGGTGACGTGTACATGTGCCTTCGCAACAGTTCAATCCTTGGCCGAGGTTATGGGTACGTTCGAGGTTGTTGGCAGACGTTCAACATTCGTGTTCGATCGGGGGAAATATCGGGGCTACTCCAACGGGAACGTGTCGGATTCGAGGGCGAATCCTTCTCAATCGGGGGAGAATGATGCAGATATTATAATAAATATTATTATTATTATTATTATTATTATTATTATTATTTAATAATTAGTAGCTTGAAGAATAAGCTAGGTTTAATTTAGGGGCTTTATTTAAAGGGTCTTATGCTTTGTTATGAGGGAGTTGAATTTGAGAATGAATTAAAATTATTCGTGTTTTTTTGGGAGAGTATCCTAAGTTCGAGAGAGTATCTCGTTTTATCATTCCCATTCGTACGCTTTCCCTACATCAATTGGTCTTCTCCAATTTTTAATTCCCTAGGACTCCAAAAAATGTTTGGCTGCGTGTGTTAATTAACTCCCAACCAATAAATTAACTTCCCACGTTTTAACATGGGCTGCATAATTGTACATCTCAATTCCTTAGCAAACAAATTCCTTACAGCCATTTAAATTTGTTCCAGCCCAAATGATATTGAACTCCCAACATTAATTGACTTGGGCCTTCTTTAGGCTGGTATTGCGGCGTCTCGAGATCAAAGTGAACTTTCGTCTAATGGTTCGTGTCCATAAAATACTCTAATGAGCTGAAAATAAATACAAAAATATCAATGTGTATGTATCCATCCAAATAATAAATAAGTCGAAAAATATAAATGTGCGAATAAATTAAGCGTATAAAAATACACCTATTAAACATATAAAACATGCATAATTTTTCGACCTATCAAAAAACAGCTAACCTAAATACCTAATAAGCTAATCTATACTCTCTTCAACCCCAACCTAAACACCAAACAACCTATAACAAACTATATAAATGGAGCATGCATGGAGAAACAGTAAATAAAATCGCAAAAAAAATAAATAAATAAATAAATAAACTAAGTAAATAAACAAACACTAAATCAGCAAACAATGGCCTTCACCGGGACCTGCCCGGCTGCCGCCACCTCACTCGCCCTCGTGCTCCTTCTATTCACGTCGTCATTGCTGACATCAACACACGCCGCTCTCATCGTAGACCCTAACATCAACAAGGGCTTCACCGTTGGCGGCCAGCTATGCTGCACGCGAAACGGCAACTGCCCAAAGGACCCAGTGGGCCTTGACTGGGCCCGCAAGATGAATGGTGGGCTCGTCAAGCTCAAGTGCAAGAACACTTATGGAGAACTCTTCCAAGGGCCCAATTACCAAGGGTACCAAAACAGAACCGGCAGGCGAGGGATTTTCAACATCACTGTCCCGGAGCTTGAGTACGTTTTGTACGGGTTCGATAGCATCCCGTGCAAAGCTGTCGTCAGGATAAGCTTCGACCGGGAGTTGTGTCCCGCACTTGCTGACAAGGTGGGCTATCTTGTGTCCGAATTGAAGTCCGTGGGAAAGGCTAATGGGCTGCTCGAACTCGAGCCGAGTGGCTGGAGCGTTCAGCCGTGTTGGTTGGAAGCGTGAAGAGCAATGTACTCGAATCATATAAGTCAAAAAAGATAGGAATATATCTTTTTTTTTCTTCGTTTTCTTTCTCTCCTCTGTTTCTCTCTGTTTTTATTTTAAGGTTTGACAGCAAACATGAAATAAGGAATAAAGATTTTGTGATATATCCTCACACTTTGTATGTGATGTAGGGGAATGCGTACGAATGAGAAGGATAAAACGAGATACTCTCTCGAACT